CACAAATTTCCATTTTAAAACCTATGATGCTCTCCATTTCTGAAAATTCCTTGTAAATTTTCATTAGGGAAATGAAAAGGCACAAATACCCTCTAACATACTAATCTTCGCTACCTTACTTGAACCAATTTCTAAAGAAAGTGAAGATGAAATATTAAATTACATAACAAATTCAATTAACTGCATGGTGTATATTACATACATACATTTAACTAATAAGAGTGACCATGGATATGTTCATTTCTTTTCAGGAAATGGGATAAGAAATTGTCAGCTATGCTGCTGCTGCCTGTAAAGACAGACATTTAGTACGATAAAACTGACAGAAGAGAAATATTCCACTGCATTTTATCTTGCTATTCTGCCTTTCTTCACAATGCAAGCATGCAGTGAAATAATTTCAAAGAAGTCTCAGAAGCACCAACATCATTCATCTTTCCCCCAGAATGCAAGAAACAATGCATATTCCACAAAATTATCTATGGAGCAGAACATTTGCTTTCTGTGACATTCGGCTAAAACATCCTGTTTTCTGAAGGTATTAGTTTTACAAGCTAAAAACCTCTGTTAGAAACATTTTCAAGCCAGACAAGTGCTGACTTCCTTCTAAAGAAAAAAAAAACAAAAAAAAAACATTGAGAAAGTCTGGTGAACACTAAGCCCAGGACCTGGGCCTGAGAAAGGTCAAGTCTGTTCTAAATGCAGAGCCAGTGATCTTCCAACAGAGTTCAAAAATCTACATCCTCTCCTCTCCTCTTCCACTCCCAGTATAAATCATGGATTATTTAGATAATTTTTTGGGGACAAAGGTTAATGAGTCTTTAGGTCAAAAACCACTAGCAATCAGCATTATCAAATTAAGCTTTTTTTATTTTTTTTTGGTTACTGTTGTGTTCCTCATTTTTCCCTAGGAAAAAATTTTAATCCAAATTGGAAAAAAAACAAAACAAAACAACCCAAACTAAAACAAATCACAAAAAAAACAACCACCAAAGTAAAGTAAACCGAACAAACCCTTTTAAGAGATTATTTTTCCTGAGCATGAATTCTATACACACACACTGTAGAGTCCCCGTAAAATCACATACCTATTTATCAGGAACAATGAATGCACCGCTGTGATTCTTCCAAGACATAATCAAGATGTTAGCTCGTTCTATACTTCAGAAATGCACAAACTTTCCTGCCTCAAAAAAAAAGCTTGGCAACTAAAATGAAAAGATAATGTTTATAATGGAAGAGAGGTATGTGAAAAAAACAGGTACTGAAAGTAAAATGAGTACTTAATGCCTACTACATGCCTAGATTTAAGTAACAAACCAACAGTTACAAGAGCTCAAGCTTCAGGACATGTCATGGTTTAAGCCCAGCCGGTAACTCAAAACCCAGGAAAAGGCAGTCAGCATATTAATGACCATCACAATTTACAGACACACCCTTTACTGAGCTTCTGTAGTTGCCTACATCTGCTGAGATAATTTGTTAAATGCCTACATCACAAACAACTGTATTTTCTCTTGCATCTCACCATTCTAGAGCACTGAATTATGGGGAATGGGGAGGGAACAAGATTTATTAAAGAGGCCAGGTAGTCCCAGGCAACTATACACTCTTCTAACACAGATAACAGTAACAAAGAAATGCTGATTTGTGTTGGTGTTTTAGTCTGAGGTTTGATGTTTGCTGTTCTTCGGGGTTTTTTTTTAAATTCATAGAATCATAGAATATTTAGGGTTAGAAAGGACCTTAAGATCATCAAGTTCCAACCCCCTGCCCTGAGCAGGGACACCTTACACTAAACGACTCACCCAAGGCTTCGTCCAACCTGGCCCTGAACACTGCCAGGGATGAAGCATTCACAACCTCCCTGGGCAACCCGTTCCAGTGCCTCACCACCCTAACAGGAAAGAATTTCTTCCTTATATCCAATCTAAACTTCCCCTGTTTAATTTTAACCATTACCCCTTGTCCTGTCACTACAGTCCCTAATGAAGAGTCCCTCCCCAGCATCCTTATAGGCCCCCTTCAGTTACTGGAAGGCTGCTATGAGGTCTCCATGCAGCCTTCTCTTCTCCAGGCTCAACAGCCCCAACTTTCTCAGCCTGTCTTCATACAGGAGGTGCTCCAGTCCCCTGATCATCCTCGTGGCCCTCCTCTGGACTTGTTCCAACAGTTCCATTTCCTTTTTATGTTGAGGACACCAGAACAGTACAAGATGCTCCAAGTAAGGTCTCATGAGAGCAGAGCAGAGGGGCAGGATCACCTCCTTCGACCTGCTGGTCACACTCCTTTTGATGCAGCCCAGGATACAGTTGGCTTTCTGCACTGTGAGCGCACACTGAAGCCGGCTCATGTTCCATTTCTCATCAACCAACACCCTCAAGTGCTTCTCCACAGGGCTGTTCCAGTCGTCTTCTTTGTCCAACCTGTAGCTGTGCCTAGGATTGCTCTGACCCAGGTGTAGGACCTTGCACTTGGCATGGTCAAACTTCATGAGGTTGGGATGGCATTCCTTTCCTCCAGGGTATCAACCGAACCACACAGCTTGGTGTCATCAGCAAACTTGCTGAGGGCGCACTCAATCCCACTGTCCACGTCAGTGACAAAGATGTTGAACAAGACCGGTCCCAACAATGGTCCCTGAGGGACACCACTCGTTACTGGTCTCCAGCTGGACATTGAGCCATTAACCACAACTCTTTGTGTGCGGCCATCCAGCCAGTTCTTTATCCACCGAGTGGTCCACCTACCAAATTGATGTCTCTCCAATTTAGAGACAAGGACGTCATGTGGGACAGTGTTGAACGCTTTGCACAAGTCCAGGTAGATGAAGTCAACGATTAAATTAAATATTTATATTTTTTTCCAGGAAAGCTTTCTATAGAAATACAACGGCAGTCATCTTAAAATAATTCCTGTCAGATGTTACTGTATTAACTGTAACACGAATTTATAACACATTGTATTAGGCAAGTTATCTACTAGCACAGGACACTGAGTCATGCTGAGACAGAATTTAACTGCTGTACTTTAAGCTATTTTTGAGAGGAAAGTTTGAAACCTTCTGCCTAGGCTCATCTAGAAAGCAGAAGATACAGCACTACTCCTACAGGGCTAACCCCAAAATCTCCAGTTACAAAATCCTTACTCCAGCACTTGTAAGACTTTCCTGGACTATTCATTTTAGTTCATATTTCCCAGGTATTCCCCTGGCCTTCCCCCCTTTAGTTGTTTTGGTTTTTTTTCCCCTTAAAGTACTTTCACAGTTTCAAGTAATAAGATGAGGAGGGTAAAAACAAATCAACCACCAAAATCACTCAGAGAAAACATTTTAATGGCAGCTGTAAACCTGCCATGCTATTAAATAGGGATTTGAAGGTTGGCAGCAAACAGCAAAGGCCTCTACTTCAGAAACATAGTTTCCACAGCTCCCATGAAATTCCCTACGCATCTGAAGAGAAGTACAGTTCTCTCCCTAAAAATCTTATATCTTCTCACTGTAGGACTTGTTCTGATGTCCAGCAACTCACAGCAGCACACATGTTCAAGCCTCTCAGCTCCTCATATGGAGCACAGACTAACCAGCCAAAACCTAAGCTGGATTTTTACTACAGCTGGCTCTCTGCTATTTAGCAGAAAAAAGAAATAATGAGCAACCAGGCTGCTTCCACTATATTCTCAGTACTTCTGCTACTGCTGCTTCAGTATCATGAGGGAACAGGAAGAATGGTAAGACACTAGAGAAATGGAAGCAAGAGAGAGGCAACACAAAGGTTAAGTGAAAAGACAAGGTAGTACACCTTCTGGTTTCAGAAACCACAGAGCTGGAGACCCAGAGCCTCTATGAGAAAAAATACCATGCTTTTATTGCTCTATTGCTCTTCCATGGTCTCTTGGGTATCATCTCCTGACCTCCAAGCTAGATGTTTAATCTGACCCTGCACAACTGTTCTCATTATTGCATATTTAAGACAGCTTCATTATTAATAGAAGAAAATACCTTTATACCCAGCCCTGTTACAGAATTCTCTATTATCCTTCCTCTTGTCACAGTTCCATTAACAGATGCTAGTACTCTCTGTTATCCTTCCTCTTGTCACTGTTCCATTAACAGATGCTAGTATTTTCCACATTAACAAGTATGTTCAGAGATGCATTAACATCTTCATATTGTTACATATATACCACTAGACATTATGACCGTTCATTGAACACACTGTATTTGTTGCTTCTACCAAAGGCAGAACTTCTGCTCTTTTCCCTTGTGTGGCAGGAAAATGTACATAAATGCTGGCCATAACATATATGTTAAGAAAAGTGCTATGAAACATATGGATATTTTGTAAAAAGCTACAGAAACTAATTCTGATTTCACATTAACCAGCCTAAGTTGGGAGAAACTCCAGCCATGTTACCTCAGTGCCAAAAGCAGCACAGGATCAGCATCCAATCCTAAATGTCTCTAATGCATCTAGATGGAAAAGTTCAGGAAATATAAAACTGCACTACAAAGTTTGCTATGTGTTTTAATAGCAAACTTTGGGATGAGAAGCACTGAAGTATCAAACATTAAAATGCTTGCTTTGCCTCCTTTGCATCTTCTGATCAACTCTCATCCATGAATTGCAAAGTCTCATGGAGGCATTGTAATTAGCATACTTCCTTCCTTTCTGGAACCATGCTGATTTTTTAAAGGGAAGTGTAAGACATTCTTCCACTTACAATCGAATGTAAATTAAATAATGTATTAATTATTTCAGTAGCACTTGATATTTATTTTAATTAATCTTTAAGTCAGACATCAACACTGGGGAGTAACAGCAGGACATCAAAAGCAGAAAAAGTTTTGTGGTTTGGGGCTTTTTTTCCTTGTTTGAGAGCATTTTTAATGACAAATTGAACAATGCACTAATTTTTTTTTTTTTTTTTTTAATATAAGTTTGATGAAATCAAACTATATACAACGGCTGTTCCCAAAGAAAAGCTTCTGAATGCAAGACCTGTATGAGCAGGGCAAGAAATAAAAGCCACCAGCCCCACTTCATCTCAGTCTTCACTACAGAGCTGCGTATGGCATGTTGGGATTGGCAGTCTCTGCTTGAACAGCATTAAGAAGTTCAATTAGACTTGCTTCCTCAGGCTGTGGCTGGAGGTAAAAAAAAAAACCAAACCAAACCAACTCTCCATATGCCCAGGAGTTTTGCTGGGTGCTATGTCCTGACCCAGGCAAAGCACCTCTTCCCCTTATCTTTGTCACCAAAAAGATGACCCACACACATATGCCAGGCTTTGCTACTGGAGCTAATCCTGAATTAACAAGGCTCAGGCTTGCATTTAGAGCTCTGACTAAAACACCTCCCTGGCACAAGAGAATTTATGCTGACAAGCAGCCAACAATCCCTTCCATGCCCTGGAGCTAACTGGTGTGAAGAGCTGATGATGGCAGTCTAGGCAAAGGGACCTATGGTCTCCTTGCTCCATCTCCTGTCACACATCACTGCAGCAAGCCACAGCACCAAGATCACCTTTGCCTATCCCAGGAACTTAAGTGAACTACAGATGAACTTTTCCCATCACTTCAAAGTGGCAACAGAAGCAAACACTATTTCTTTTTTATTATTTAAAATTTTTAAAACTGGGAATATTTTTTTTCTGGTCAAGCTGAACTTACACAGACTAACATTCTGAACCTTTTATTACAACTGCAAAACAAGAATTACTTTAGCACTTCAAAACACTGAGATCAAGACTCTTAAGTTTTGACCCCATTTTCACCTAGACATATGAATTATTCCTTACTAAGATGCTACAGGTTTTACATCAACATAGGCCAGTATTAACTGCTTTACTTGTCTGCATTCAGCCTCTACAGATACCACAAGTATATCAAAACATAACGGTCATATTTCTGGGAAAACACAGGCCTTCTCTTCTTAGAGAAATCTGAATTGGATTAAAATAGCAGACAGACTGGTCTAAAATTAGTCCAGTTTTCAGCGGTTTGGTTTTTTTTTTTAAGATAATAATAAATCTGCTTAAATATTTTTGTTGCCTGTGACCCTAAATAAATCACTTAGTGTTGTGTTTCATTTTCTTCCATCCATCAAATTGCAGCTGGAACAGAAGGAAGAAGAAAAGAGGAAACGCAATTCTGGCATGACTTTTGTGGCACAATCATTCAAGAGCATGCTTGGTAAATAACATGGATAGGATCAGTTCTGTGCACGCTTGGGACACTAGCTCACAGGAAGCGTGTACTGTGCTTAGCACATCAGTTCCCGACCCTCCACCCCAATTTCCTTCCCTGTGCCCACACACTGTATGGCCAGCTCTGGAAGCAAGGCAGGCACAGAGGCTTATCCAACTTTATTTTGAGTAGCACAGAGGGCAGGTACTCTCTGGAAGACATTTGTTCTAATGAATACCACCATCGAAATGCAAAAAGCCCCTCAACGTAACTAAAAAAGCCACAACTTACACCCCACCTTCGGTCTCAACTGTGCTTTCACTTAAAAAAGGATTATTGTACTACAGTTATTTTAACTGACTCAAAATAAACTTAGAGTTCCCAAGATAATTAGAAATTTCTGCACAAAGTAAACCCCACATTCCTCCCCAATATTCACAAAGTATCATAAAGAAGAAAAGTATCTCATACTATTTGCTCTACCTTTAATTTAGATAAAACAGAAGAAAACCACCTTTTCTCTGAACAGAGACAAGCTCGGATGGCTGATATTCCAAAGGTCTTTTTAGAAGTGACTGACAACAACATGGCTCAGTTCTGCAAGTCTCCTCACAGCTGAGCCCTATATCTCTCTACAGGAGATCAAACAGTAGCAGTTCCTCCAGGCCTTTCCCACTTGTGACCTTCTGGGTAAAAGCTCATCAATATGGAGTCTAGGTGTACTCAAGCTATGCTGTAAATCACAGGCAGCAACTCCATAGCACACAGTGATTAGGTGGCTAGTAGGCAGTCTCTTGTTTCCTGTCACTCATCCTTATAGTAGCATTTGGCTTTTAGACAGGAGCTACCTCTCAACATTTTACACAGCTTCAGATACTAAATATTTCCATCACTCGTACAGTTCCACCCCTCCAAAAATCCCTCTCCAAAGGAACACATAACCCAATATTAACATGCAGAGTTTGTCATCTTTTTTTACACTACATTAAAGTATTTACACTAATTGGAGACATGTGCTTAAACATCACAGAGGTTGCTCTGCAAATCCTACCCCTTCTTTTTCTAATCAGCACACGTGGGAAAAAAGAAGCTGCTTTCACAGCCAGGCAGTAGAAATGCCACTTTCAAAGTCACAGTCCTGATAAGTTACAGAGTACAAATGCAACTTTCCTCTTCATAATTGTTTTCTGAATCTGTCTAGTCACTCAAAATTCCCTTTTTTTTACATGCGTTTCTGCTTTGCACATTTCAGTGACTCTCCCATACAACTTCAAATACAGACAATGTAATGAGCATTAAAGCTCTTTGAAAACCTATGCCCTGAATTCAATTAGCAGTATCAAGAATCCAGCAGTTAGCAGCAAGTCCAAAACATGTAATAGGATTATTTGAGAGTTTAATGATGAATAAAGCCCTACCCAAATATTTTCTTTCTTGCTTTCTTCTCCTCTAGAAGTATTTAACATAACTGGCTTTAAGTCTAACTTATTTCAGTATATAAAGTGGCATTTAGGTTGGTACAGAAAAGACCTATCAATTGGATACCCATTACCTCCACCTGCCTCATCACATAGCGGTTCCACTTGCACTGAAACTATATTCAGCTGTTAACAGCAGACATTAGCAAATGTTGCTAAGAACAGACACACTTAGGAGTGATCACATCCGTCTGTGCTCCTCATCATCTACAGCCTCTGATTCAGACAGGTCCCATCAATACCACACAACATTTGGCCTGGGTCTTCCGAGGACCTTATGTTGAAATAACAAGAACATTGTCACAGCATTCCACTGACTAAGGCTAAGAGCAAGCACTTCATGCTCTGATGAGCTGGAGGTACTTGAGGATCCAGGGTCTTCAGGGATAGCATTAAGAGGACTTTATAAAACAGAGGAAGCCAAACCTGTAACAGTCTTAACCAAACTACCAGCAGCAACTACACCCTGGAGTAAAATTTCTCCAAACCATATCTTTCATTAGTCTTTGGGAAATCTACTTTATTCCAATGAAAGTCCAAGAGCAATGTTACAAATAAACAGTCAAGGAATTTTGTTTCAGTGTCTACAGTTTAAAACACACAGTTACTCTTTATTAACAGAACTTACAATATTTCTATTTGCTGCTACTTCCATCTCAGGACATTCTCTACCCAGAAACATGGGGGGATGTGTGGGGTGTATATGTGTAAAATTCAATTCTCTGCCACAATTAAAAAAAAAAAAAAAAGCTTCCAAGCCTGAAATTATGACCCACAAACTTACAAGCAATCAGTTCCAGACACAAAACTCCAGAGCCACTCACCAAACTGGAATCAATTCCAGGAGAAATGCAGAGCTACAGTACAGAGCACAACTTGAGGGAAGCAAGTTTTAAGTAACTGCTCCAGGAATAAGCTCGAACAAACCAAACCAGATCTAGCACAGCCCTGAGCTAAGCTGTAAGAAAGCCCAGCTCATAAAAAGCCCATAGCCTACCACACATGCAAATTGCCACTATTTAGTTAAGAGAAGTCACCTTTTCCATCTCCTTTGTACTGCTGTGGCATTGACAAAACTGTTTCAGGGCTCTTCACTGCCTATGTAATGTTAAGACGTGAGTTATGTAGGTACTGTATTGCCAGAAAATGCCTCTATTGTGCCTTGGAATTTCTTGGGGGTTAGATGCAATATATTCGCCTGATTGGTATATAAGAAAGTCAGTCTTTCTGGTAGAAATCTCCTCTTAACTTTGATGCACTGAAGGAAAACTGAGCTCTCCATCTGGAAAGAATTCATAAAGCTCTACAGTATTAAAACACCAATAGGAACAAAAAGCTTTGATGTAATTATTACCAGTAGGTGGTATGCATTAACTGCTATTTTCAAACCAGCAGGTTATTCAGCAGCTTTAGAAACAATAAAACCCTCAAGACCTGAGGCAAAAAAAAACCAAAACCCAAACAACTAAAAAACAGTTTAAAAAAACTTAAAAAAAATCATTAACAAATCTTAAGCATTCATGATAAATTGCAATTATAAGCAAGCATTCATGCTTGCAATAATTAGCAACATACCTCAACATTACTGAATGCCAATGAAGTCAAGAATACTCTTCACGAAAGAACAATACAGTGGAGGTGGCCAAGTTGTATTTAAACGGAGGCATAGGCCTCATGCTCTGCCAGGGAGGAGGGGAAGCCAGGAGGAAGCAGAGACAGGACACCTGACCCAAACTGACCAAAGAGGTATTCCATAACACAGCACGTCATGCCCAGGATGTAACTGGGAGTGAGCCGGAAGGGCTGGGAGACTGCAGGGTTGGAGGAGGTATCGGTCGGAGCTTGGTCGGGCTTGGGGGGTGAGTTATCGGTCAGCTGGTGCTGAGGTGTTGTATTCTCTTCCCTTGTTATTTCCTTTATCATTATTATCATTGGTGGTAGCAGTAGTGATTTGTGTTATACCTTAGTTACTAAACTGTTCTTATCTCAACCCGTGGGAGTTGCATTCTTTTCAATTCTCCTCTCCATCCCTCCGAGAGCAGGGGGAGGGCAAGAAAGGGGGGGGAAGTGAGCGAACGAATTACCTGACTGGGTTTAAACCACGACAGTTCTTTTTGGCGCCCAACGTGGGACACGAGGGGTTGAGATAACGACAGATTTGACTGGATTAATAGTCACTCATCACAATGCTGATTTATTGGCTCTCAGAGTTTTTTCTCTTGATCTCACAGCTTCAGAATGTTGTAACTTACGTAGAGCCGGTATTTGCTGTGATAGTGTTTATCAAGTGTGGGGCCTGGGCTAAGGTTCTTGTCTCACTGTGCTTTATGGCAATGGCTTGTAATACGGGCGGGCTCCAGCAGCAGGGCGGGACGGACGTGGCCGTGGACTTGTACCTGGCCGTCCGGCTGCTCTTCACCGTCCTGGCCCTCGCCCTACTCTCCATCTTCGTGAGGTTGCGGGGAGCCGAGGGGGAGCGGC